AAAAAAAAAAACGTGGGTGCTGGTCGTAAATTTTGAAAAGAACCTCTAACGACTAAGAGGTGCCAAAATCCTGCTTTGTGGGTGTGACTTGAAATTTTTTCACCCCTAAGTGTTACCAATTCTAAAACAACACTTTACCTCCTGGCTGTTATTTTTTTCTGGCTCAACATCCTAAGAGGTACCATTGGAGCTCCTGCTGTGGTCCTTTAAAAGTTGAACACCCTTATAGGAACCAAAACTGCTTTTTCAACTCCTAAAAGGTATGATGAGCACCCCGTCTTTTTTATATTGGATTCCCCCCCACCCCCAGGATACTGGGATGAGGTGGAAAAGGTGTGGTGGTCTAATAGCTAATGTTTTTCTCTCCTGATCGAACATTCTTGATTTGAACCCTGGCTGGGGCTTTGACTATGTTGTTGGGCAAGACACATGTAATCTAGCTATAGGCCTAATTAAAATTAATACAACTGCTGGCTAGCAGATTTTTCTTCTTGATGTGGGGAAATCAGATTGTTTCGCTGGGGGAGGGGAGGGGGTCTGTGTATTTACAACTCTCCCATAGAGGTAAATCCATTTTGCTTGCATTGCATCATGTCACATTGCATCCAAAGAGTTTGCTCCTGACTGATCCCTCCCCACGAGGGAAGTACACAGTATGCATTATTTTACTTTTTCCACTGAAAAAACAGTGCAATGGAATGGTTCCTTATGGTTAAGTGTCCTAACATTGTCATGGTTACCCTCTATGGTCAGCTAGTAGTTAATGTAGCTCTACCAGCCTTATAGCAACATTCTCCTTGTTCATCTATAAATTTGTTGTTGAGTGTAATGTAGTGGTAAAATATTGTTTCCATTGGCCATATGCTGCATGATTGCCTGAACTGGAAAAACAAGGTTTCCATTCCAGAAGCTAAAGATCAGTGCTAGCACCAGTGAGGCATCTTGCTTCTGGTATCATCAGTATTGTAACAGACATAGCCTTTTCATCTTAAGACAAAGTAATAGAATAATTGTCATGAATTAAACCTTCTTGTGGTAGAGATGTTGTTCTTATGTTGCAGGATCTTGATGGTGTTGAGGAGTTTATCAGAGAAAATCATGAAAAGCTGGTGGCTATTGGAGAGGTAAGAGAGTGCCTCATGCCTGAAGAAAGTACACCCTTTTTGCGGTATTGGAAATTAATTTTCATCAAGTTGCCAAGTCGTAGAATCACCAAATCATCAAATCATTGCTGTTTTTTTGGAGAGAATAATTAAACCATGGAAAATTGCACAGCACTCTTTTTGCAGCACCTTTTAAGTTATTTTTTTCTTCTTTTCATGCATGATTAAGTTGTGACACATAATTTATATTTCATCAGTATTCATATGTTTCCCTGACATTTTCTTAATGAAGGTTGGTTTAGATTTTACCCCAAGATTTATAAGCAAAGAGGAAGATAAAGATGTACGGAGAGAGGTGTTCAGCTGGCAGGTAAAGAATCCCTTCAGACTTGAAATGTCTTTTCATATTTAACACCTTACAATCCTATATCAGCCCATAAACTGTATCTAACTGATCAATACCTGGTTATTTGAAATATTTTGAAATTTAAAATTTACATTTAAAATTTAAAAATACCTTTTTGTTGTTGCAGATAAAACTTGCCCAAGAGCTTGATCTCCCTTTGTATGTGGGTACATTATTTTCAATTATCAAAATAAATGATATTAAAATAACTACCAAGCAGAGTGTCTTTTNTCATATTTACTACTTTACTATCATATATCAGCCCATAAACTGTACCTAACTGATCAATACCTGGTTATTTAAAATATTTTTAAATTTAAAAGTTAGATTTAAACTTTAAAAATGCCTTTTTGTTGTTGCAGATAAAACTTGCCCAAGAGCTTGATCTCCCTTTGTATGTGGGTACATTATTTTCAATTATCAAAATAAATGATATTAAAATAACTACCAAGCAGAGTGTCTTTCCTTAGTGTTTCCACACTTAAATTTGTAAATTAATTAGCCCTTGTCAATTAGCTTAGTTGTTAAATGCACTATATTTTGAGAGTAAAAAGAAAACATCTGAACAACATTTCTCAGATAAGTTTGCTATGCTGGTATCTTTTACTTTTTTGACTATGCGGAAAGCATTTTGTTTAATGTGGTGTCTTGTTGTTTGCAGAAATGTCCATTTCCAATCAGCAGGGAGGCATGTGATTGAATTGCTACAAGAAAATGGTACTTCTTATCCTATAAACATTAGTCACAATTCCTCTAGGAACTCTTAGAACAGAATGTCATACCTCATTTTCTTGTGTTAAAGATATTGCACAAGGACAATAAAGATAGTTCATATTGTTAGAGAAGAAGACAATATGAATACTACCAGAGCCAGTTTGATTCCCTTTGGTGGGAGAATCTTTAATTAAAAATAGTTAAAATTAAAATTTAGTTTTTCATTCTTAGGTGCCAAGAATGTTCTGCTGCATGCATTTGATGGGAAACCTTCCAATGCTCTCAGGGGCGTTCAACAAGGATACTACTTTTCCGTTCCACCATCTGTAGCTCGCTCACCAGAGGTAGAATATTTTGTTAAGTGTTGTGGTCATCTAGTAAAGGAATCTTAGTTTTACAAAGTGATGTTGTTCATGGATAGAAAACTAATGTCTAGAACATGATTAGGGATGGACAGATAAGGTACTCTACTACCCAATCCTGTAGAGGCCCAGTGGCCTCATGGTTAGTGTGCTTGCCTCCGGATTGAGCAGTCTCGGTTTGAGCCCTGGCCGGGGACATTGTGGTGTGTTCTTGGGCAATATATTTTACTATCACAGTGTCTCTCTCCACCCAGGTGTACAAATGGGTACTGGCGAATTCAATGCTGGGTGGGTAATCCTGTGATGAATTAGCATCCCGTCCAGGGGGAGAGGGGCAGTAGAAAAACTACTAGTTGCTTTCCTGATGGGCCACTTGGCTTGTATGTAGACATTATCTTTTTTATACCTTACTACCCAATTGTAGGAAGTTGGGTGATATATTCTGTAAAATGATTATTTATCTGTGTGTGACATATGGTTTCAGAACCCTGTCTAGGATTAGGGGGGGGGTGGGTGGGGGAGAGATGAGGCTTGAATTGTTGTACTAGAATATGAGTAGGGGCTGTGTACAGTATGGATGGTGTGTGAGAAAATGCACTGGAACATGTTAAGGGGTTGATGGGTGTTTGGAGTGCTGGACGAGGTACACTACTGTGTTGTTTACTATGATGAAGAGAGATGAGAGGGGTGAGATATTTTTCTAGAGCCCTATCTGGGGTGGGTTGCTGTGGTAGAACATGACTGAGTTTGCCTTGTTGGTGCTTTTGTTCTTCACTGTTAGAAAACAGATTCACCAGTACTGGCTGCTGAAAAACAGGTGCTCAGATTGTGTCATTAATGTTTGGGATATGAATGTTGCTCACCAGTATCACTTGCTTAGACCTGGTACCCAAAATAAAGAAAGTTGTCTACCCTAGCATTTTATTTTGATGCACCTTTAATTGTCACAACTAAAAGAAAGGTGTATGGTGCATACTCAAACAACAACGATAACAATAACAACAACAACTTTATTGATGTGTTTAGATAAAATAGCCCAGAGTGAAATACTCTACTCACTGAGGACACTGAAAAGTTAACTTGAAGGAACTATTTTCAGCATTAAAAGTTAAAATTAAGGATCTATTTACAACTGTTAAACATAAACTCATATATTATAAATCATCAGGTTAGAGCAAAGAAATCATAACTGTGATTCGTACTGGTTTGGATACCTGATCTTGTTTCAGATTTTTACAATTTTATATCTCTGTTTAAGCCTTAGGGTTAGATTTGATTGGAAGCATATACTAAACACTTTACACAGCATATTGATCAAATTCACTCAAACCTCTAATTATTTTGT